TTTTATGTCAATCGTAAAACTGACAACATAAAATTTAAGAACATATAAGCCAAGGTTTTTTACCAGCTATCGTCTGTTTATATAGCTATTGAACAGCCATTATTAACTAATAATAATCAAATCATGTTTGCAATTAATCATAACAAACCTTTTTTATTCGCAAAGATCGATTCCCACTCGCTTTTGTTTTACCAAACATAGGCAAATCGATTTATATACGCAGTAATGTTTCTTTACAGAGCAGACATTTAATATCGATAAAAACACGTCTATGCACTTCACAGATTTCGGTACACGTATGAGTACAAAGCACGTGCGGTTCACACGACGTCCGCGGTCAAACTGAGGCGGCGCTAGTGAGATGCGCGCTACCTCTGGGGAAAATTTCCCGAAATAGGGCAAATGAGTCACATTTTGTTCCAGTTAAATCAGCTGCTTGCACTTTAGTCATTCACCATAATTTAATTGTTTAGATATTTAAACGTATCTTAGTATGTTAAGCGCCGTAAGTACGAACTATTTTAGTAGATATTTTGTTGGAAATATTTTAGCCTGTTTAATTTATTTTTTTGGTCCTATACCGTTAATATCTTTTACAATAAAAATATAGTTGCATGTAAAGCATCCGTTATTTAAAAGTCAACAGTTTTTGTTAAAAGGCCATTTTTATTTTACCATATCATTTCATTTAAAATTAAAATCAATAATATAAACGCATCAAAACACAATCCAACGTATAGAAAAAAGCAAAACATGTCAACTGGCCATCTGCCGCTCCCTCTATCTTAAACAGTTTACTGAAAAATCCAGCAACTAATCGGCCGACGAGAATGTCGCTTGTATTCCGACAAGGGTTGTACAGATAGATCCGAAAACTAATCAGCCGACTGCAATATCATCAGTCGTAGTTATAGCGTCTGCGGATAAATCTAACAACTAATCTACCAACTGAAATATCAAGTCGTGTCGTTGGGTCGTCCTGACAACATAGACGTCACGGATCGTTACTGGTAGGATAACCATCCATTATCCGTTAAAACTGAGACACGGATTTAAAGCCGTAATTATAATATAGTTAGTATATTTTTTTACAATAATTGTGGCTTACTAAAACCAAAATAACAGTAAAAAGAAACAAATTCTGTGTGATAAGTAAAAAAAAAAATTTAGGTTTGAACTCAATTTTTATACGTATAGTCAAAAGAGTAGAGGAACGCCTAAACATATTTTGATTGATTACAATTAGAGTGTTAACATTTGTAAAGATTGGGAAAATGTGGACAGTCCTTCTAAATCGGTAAACGGTGGATACCAAAGACTTTGCAGACAAGAATATAGCCGTTTCGACCTTCAAGCTGCGGGCAGCAGGTGTCACAGTGGGGTTGCAAATTGTTAGCGACAGGCAACGCCTCTAGAAAATGCCAAATCAATCGAACAAAGGTCAATACACCTTTAATCGATAAAAAATTGGACACTTTAGTTAAAGATAATCATATAATTAAATTGTTTAGCAAGATCCTATATACATCTTAGAATCATAAAAAATTAAAAGTTGCAGACTTTTCAGAGAAATATGGAAGGCCAAAACACTTCGTAGAATTTTAAAACAACAGAAAATCACTTTGAGACCAGAACACATGCTGTTCCGTTCAAAGGACAGTTGACCGAGTTATGTCTGATGCTTTTACACTGTCACTGTGTTTGAATCCACCTTTGTATTTGCTTTGAATGACTATTGTTATGTCAGAAATACAGAAGTGACAAGCATACAATACCACTGTCGTAGCTTTCTACGTGAGAGACATGATACACTAAAATCGCGGACCTTAACCTCCTTACAACATTGTGCAAAGTACATGACAACATTAAACAAAAGAAATGTGACACAGATAAGAAAATGTCACTGTACACCGGTGTGGTTTGAGGGACGTCACAATATTTACATGTATTAAGTTAGTTTATTTAGGGTTGTGAAAGAAAATATACGCAAATCCTCTACAGTAGACCGTAGTTCACCATAAATGCTGTACACTCAACATCAGCTTACAATACGTCCCCACTGAGGGACGAGCCTATGACACCTTAAGGGTAACCCCTTATTCAACCACGCTGTACTGCGGATAGACTTAACACATATTTTTGAGTTGCATCGCGATATTTTCCATTACCATAAGACCGTCGCTAAAAAGTACACGTGGAATTCGAAAAACACATTGTTACATGGCGGAATTCGAAACTTTCTTGAAGTCACTGATAAATAGTTTACCAAAGACCAAGAAAATCATTAGTCTGCAATTTATCAAGATCATTATACTGCAAACGGTTGTCTAACCTAACTAATCTTATAAATGCGAAAGTTTAGATGGATGGATGTTTGTTAGTTTATAGCCTAAATTGCTAAACGGATCTCAATGAAATTTTGCATAAATGTAGAGGATAGTCTGGAAGAAAACATAGGCTACTTACTTTTTTTTTTAAACTCCACACGGATGGAGTCGTGGGCTTAATCTAGTTCTGTCATAATTTTTATTCAGTATTCACAAGTTTCCAGCCCTTTAGTCTAGAGTCTCTATCTAGATGAGCAGCTAATTGCTTATTATCGTTTACATTATCAACGATTTCCGCTACTGAATAATTACCGTTGAGTCATTAGTATTCAGTGTCAGGCTGTCATCAACATAGACGAGAGAAACCTATCGCGTGTAGGTCGCGGCACAAGGCCGTTAACACTATTGTATGAAAGGTCACTCTTACATTTGAAAACATTACTAGATAGAATATATATTATTTGTGTTATAAACTTAACTCGAAGATATAGTAGACACATCTTTTAAAGTTCGTGAGACTTGAAACTTAGCAATATATGGTAAAAGCGGAAGTTAGTTGAACATAAATAAATTTGCGCACTACAATATCTCGGCCTTCAGAACTAAAGACCAAACATCACGATAAGCATTTAACCTTTGCACATCCATAGCATATTATAAATAGATTCAAATAGGATTGTATCTCGCCCACAAATGTTGAAGATGATGTGGTACATTAAATTCATGAATTATTACAAAAAAACCCCTTTCACAGTTTACCGGCAATATTTCCTTAGTATAAGGCATACAGAAAAAACTGAATTATAAAATCAAATATTTCTGTACTTTTTAAACTGGATAACATTCTAAAATTGTGACTTTAATCTTTTCTTATATTGTGTTAGTTAATTGACTAATAACAGACTGCTACTAGCCGACATACATAAAGTACAGTCAGCATATGTATGTATTTAAAAATCTTTAAAAATTACATAGGCATTTGATTTTAAAACGCACGCGCGTTTTATCTAAGATAAATCCACGGTCGGTATATCGTATCACACGTCATACGTGGACGGATAATTTTGAAAACGTAAGGGTTTTCAAGTTTCTGATGTTTTTTTAATACATACATATTTATGGCGCTGACTGTACATTGTAATACCATTAGTAATGTAAGTGCAACACCTGTGGTTTTAATGTTTAGAATTCCTTAACCATACAAAACTAATATTAGTCAACAACAAAGTATTTACGCGATATCTATATTTGAAATCTTTAACGACTGGAAGTATATTTATGATTCAATCTATTATTGTTACGCTTATTCAGAAATATGAATCTTTAATGGAATTCCTAAAGCTAACAAGGACGCTGTCCGTTCTTTAAATAAATCCGTTTGATGTAAAATTAGCAGCGATGAAATCACAAAAGCCCTAGTGTTTATTATTAAAATATACATTCACTTTGTACAGATAACAAATTTACAAAGATGATTCTTAGCATTTCATCATTTACTGTAAAGAAAAGCATCTGGTTTAAAATAAAATTCTGAGTTAATAAGTAAAAATCCATAAAATGACATAAACCAGAAAGTGTTAAGAATGTAGATGGCTACAAAGGAAGAGGAAGAACGAAGAAAGTATGGATGGATTGTATGAAAGATATGCTTAAGAATATGACGACTGCTGATATGGAGATGTATGGAGCAGCACATACTGTGCCGACCCTGGACTGTGGATAAGGGCAAGTTGATGATGATGAATAGGTAAAAATCCGAATCTGTTGAAGTTATAAATTAATTTAAAATCAGACCGTTTAACTAAATATTAGAATATTTTACTTTACATTACACAGATCAAACCAAAGAAATATATTTTTTTCCTTTTGGTGCATTATTTTCTATTGTACATTGTAAAAAATTGTTACGTTATGATGGACAATTTTCCTCATACGAATGACCTTTGCAATAACTGGAATCGGAAATGTGTATTGTTCACTTAATTTTCGTTTGTAAATTCACTAATAACCTCGGATTTAACGATCACATTTCTTTGAAGGGGAGAATAAATTTTGAGATGTTTACACAGAACGCATTACGTCGGCGCCATGTTTGTTTTCCCGCGCTTTGTTTGCGTCGCGTCACGCGCGGGAACGTTCGCTGTCGACGTTACGTTTCATGCACAAATATTTGAACTACTTACAACACCTCCAAGAATCAAGGATATTTTCGCTAGGAAAATTTTTAAATTAAAATCATCGATTAATTTTTAAATTGGACGTTTTATGCATTAGGAAAATGGAGTATAGATTTTTTTAGGCAAAATGCTTAGCAACAGCAATATTTATTTTTAAAACACTACTTTTGCCCTCCATATTGGCTGAGAATTTAAGTAACCATGGCAACCTTGCTGAAATTGGCTAGCAGTCTTCTCTTTTTTACAAGTTTAATAGCATAAAAATACATGAAAAAAAATTCAAGCACGTCGCATATACTGTGATTACTGACGTCCTAGATAACAACTGTGTTTAACTTTTATTATATTGGTACAAGCTAAAGACGTCACTTTCAATTTGACTTTTGTTAAGTTTTCGTTAACTATCAAAGTATAACCCTTACAGTTTGAGATGACATGATACACATGCCTTGCCTACAAAAGAGCAAAAGAGAAAGCTATACAACAATGTACTCACTCATCGTGGTCGTGCAGCCTGCGGGGCGTGTGGGGCGTGTGCGGGGAGTGCGGGGCGAGCAGGCGCTGCGTGTCGGGAGCGCAGGCGCGCGCGAACGCCGCCGCCGCCTCCACCGCCGCGTCAGAATCACACGCGGACGCGTCATCTTCAGCTAACACAAGAAATATACCACTTAAAAAAAATAATTTTAACACAGAGTCACAGATCACAAATTATAGAATCCTAGTTTTCGCCCGCGACTCTGTCCGCGTGACATTAAAAAAAAAAGCGAGTAGCCTATGTGTTCTTCCAGAATATCCTCTACATCTATACTAAATTTCATCAAAATCCATTCAGCCGTTTAGTTACAAACTCTAACAAACATACATCCATCTAGACTAAGGGCCTGTCCCAGCACTGGCTGATAGGGGTTCAGATAGCTTAAAAAGACGTCACTGTCAGATAAGGGAACAAAATCCGATATTTCCATCACATATTTTAGACGTTGCATTGTTATGACAACTTATAATTTGGTGGGATAGGCCATAAATCTATTTAAATCGTAACTTTTTGGAATTTAAAGTACTTAATATATGTACGTGGATTCTACACAAAAGACAGCAAGATAAATACTTTAAAAATGATTGCATACAATTATGCTTTATGAAAACGCGCTTAGGAATTTCATTACCATATTTTTTAAACCTATAAGATCCGTTTAAAGTGACATATCTTTGTAATAAGAAGCAAATTGCAAGAATTTTGTAAATGGACCAAACAAATAGTATCAGAATGTCATTTTCACAGATTCAATTGATAAAATTTGATAAAGAGAACAAAAGATTTAGTGTAAAAGTATTTAAACAATAATAAAAGATAACAATTTGACCTCATTGTTAAAAAGTACGCAAACAAATTCTCATTATCTGATAAGGTAAATTTTATATGTCAAAAATAACATCTACATAAAATATAAACTCCTTGAAAACAAATCCGTGTGGTAAAAAATAACAGTATAACATACTATTATTATAAATGCGAAAGTTTAGATGGATGTTTGTTAGAGTTTGTAGCCTCAACGGATGAACGGATTTCGACGAAATTTGGAAAAGATATGGAGGATAGTGTACACATAAGCGGGCAAAATCTAGTTAAATTTATAATTGCTAACACGCTAATGTTACGAATACGATAGTTTAGATGGATGGATGTTACTTATAATATCCAAAACGACTTAATAAACCTTGACAACAAGCACAGATGTAGAGCAATGAAACGCCTGGAAGAACACAAATGCTTTAGTTTTTTTTTTAAATTCCGCTCAGACAAAGTCACCGGCAAAAGTTATAGAAAACTACAATAACAGCCATCAGTTGTTATTCTTATTCGTATATTTTACAATAATAGCTTTCGCCCGCAACTCCGTCCGCGTGGGGTTTTAAAGAAAAAGTGAGTAGCCTATGTGTTCTAGCTATGTGTTCTAGCCTCTAACAAACATCCATCCATCTAAACTTTCGCATTTATAATATTAGTACGATTTGTATGAAAACAATAAAAGAAATCTTAACATATCTTACGATCAAATTCAAATCCTTCGTTGACAATTGCCCATTTGGGTGACACAAATTTCTTACGACGCATCACAAAATTTAGTTAAATTAATTTTTATTCTGTACACAAAACGTTTATACACCACATTTCATAAAAACAATGTTAACACAATTCGTATAAAGATTAAAAAAATAAGAAAACTGCAAATATCAGTTGACAGGAGGTAAATTTTGGCGCCAGTCAAAACTTTGTATGAAACGTCGTAATGAGAAAAATGTCCCCTAATGCTGACAATCTTAGGATGTGTACACACTAGCCACTTAAAACTAATACTTATTTAAATGAAAAACATGTGTACATTAAATTACTTTTAAGTATTATTTAACACTAATGGGAAGTAAAAATAAAGGGCATGCATTTATCTATACTATTATAATAAAGCGCAAACACACACTTCTTTGTTGCCTAAGATATCAACAATTATAGCATATTTTCGAGTAACTCTTTTTTTTTTAATAAAAAGCCTTACATTTTCGTCACGCTTTAGGCCATATATTTTCACGCCGTTAAACTTAGGGGTAAATATTTTGCATAAAAACCCTAATGTGGGAAAGAGACCATAAGTTATTGCCAACATCAAGGAAGCAAGGTTGCCATAGTTTGACATCATGTCATGTCATTTTGACATTTACAATTGCTAACTTGAGAATTGTAAACAATAAAATGATATTTTTATAACTTTATGCGGATGAAGTCGCATGAGAACAGCTAGTACTTTAATATTTATTGTTGGTGAAAGTTAATTCTCTTATGGTTTTAATTGATTTAATTTTTAAATCTGTTAAAAATGCGCTCAATGTGACTTCAGGTTTATTAGAGCAGTGTTTGCTATAGATAAAACAATGCGGCAAGCTCATTCGCGATGTGTGCGTTTGTGGGCGGACTTCGGATGACGAAAACATTACGATATTTTTTATTTTGTGTATTTTATTTTAAGTTATTGCCTTAACATGTCTGTACTTAAAAAAAACGTAAAAGACTCTGGGGGTTCGCTAGGGGGCAGTGTTGGGCAGCTGCCTCTAGAGAACAGAAAATCCTGATGTAACATAAATAACGAACTGTTGCCCGCAACTTCGTCTGCGTAGTATTAGAAAACATACGAACTATATAAATAACAAAAAGCTACGTATCCCTCGGGAATCGGACATTTCTCTGGGATGAAGCTTATCTCTTGTGTACTCCAGACTTTGTTTTATATCTGTGCCAAATTTCAATAAGATATGTTGAACTGTTGCAGAATGATCGAGTAAACGTTAAAAGACTAAATTAATGAATCCCACGGGAACCGCAACTGTTCCCGGGATAAAAAGTAGCCTATGTGTTCTTCCAGACTATGCTCTAAACCTGTGCCAAATTTCATGGAGATCCGTTCAGCCGTTTAGGCTACAAACGCTAACAAACATCCATCCATCCATCTAAACTTTCGCATTTATAATATTAGTAAGATTAATAAATAATTATATACAGTGCGCGAACACTATTTTTAGTTGTGCAACTAAACAGTTGAGCTGCGAAACAATCGACAATCGCACACAGTTGTGCGATAGTTTAGTCAAAGATCGCCCGCGCTTAGTAAGACTGAGTCAATGCAGCGCATGCGTCATGCAGTTGTACATAAATTGTCGCAATAATCATTTACCTTAAATGTTACTTAATTTTAAAATAAAGGTAACTCTATAATAGAACTATTCGCCACTTCATTTGACAAGAAGTTTTATTTTATTTATCCCTGAATTTAGAGTTATTCTGATATTCATGTGTTTAATTGGGTTTCAATTCTGAAACTGTACGTGATCTGGGTTTTTTGCTGCATGCTGCAATAATGCTATGCTACAAGATGGCTTAAAGTTCACTTATTTGCAAAAACCAGAACTAAATGATTTTTCAATTTATTTTGTCTGTATAAAAAAAAACATACAGACGAATTGAGTACCTCCTTTTTTTGGGAAGTCGGTCAACAAATGAGAAATTAAAGAAAAATCGTGCAATCTATTTGATGCATAATATCTTAATAAGTGTCTAACATGACTTGTGTAATTCAATAAAACTCAATCATTCTTCAATCATGAGTTTGTATAGTCTTTGGAAGTGCATATTTAAAATTACATATCAAGTTTGGTAAATATAACAATAATTTAGTTTTTCAGCACTTAAAAAAACATATTACAATGATATAAACAATATTTACATAAGACACCGGTAGAATTTAATCTATAATTAGCTGTTGTTCTCAACTTCGCCCGCGTCAAATTAAAAAATGTAGCCTATGTTACTCACAGATAGACCTTTCTAATGACGAAAGAATGATTAAAATCGACCCAGTAGTTTTTGAATTTCAATACGTACAAAAATACAAATCTTTTCTCTTTATATATAGTATAGATTACGTATTTAAAATTAGCCATAATTCAGTTTGCCAAATTTAACAATTGACTACAACACTAACCATGCGGTCGTTCTTTTAATTCCAGATTGATCGTAGTTTGCACCTCCATTTTAATAAATCACAAATACACAAAACCCGCGCTGTCCGAATGTATGCGATCGATAAACTAAATGCGTCAATATATGATAAACGGTTTTAATGCTTCCCGCTATCTCTGATAAGCTAACACTAGCCACGGACCGCGGCTTTGTTTACCTCAATAACCATTAATTAAGGCCGACTGTTATGACAGATGTTGACATAATTAAACAGTTTCTTTGGATGTGTTTGTTAAGTTATTGCAAGTGTTTACATACAAAATTAAGAATTAAAATTACAAGGACTGTATTAAATACACTAGCTGTTCCCGTGCGACTTCATCCGCATGTAAATAAAGAAAATCTTATTTTATTGTTTACATTTGTCAAATTATCAATTACAAATGTCAAAATGACATGATATATAGCCTAAAGCGTGACGCAAGTGTAGGGCTTTTTAATAAAAAAAAAAACATTATTCATAAATATGCTGTAATTGCTGACATCTTAGGCAACAAAGAAGTGTGTGTTTACGCTTTATTATATTAGTATAGATTTTAACTGAAATATACGTCAACATTTAACCTACATCTCACTAATATTATGATTGTTTAAATGGATGGATGTCTGTTAGAAGACATCTCCAGAAAGACATAACTGATCCCTATGAAATTTGTCTCAGATATAGAAAAAAGTTTGGAAGAACACATAGGCTTCACTTTTAAATTTCGCGTGGACGGAGTCGTGGGTAAAAGCTAGTTTTACAAATAATTCAAATCTAGTAAATATCCATTGATATTGCAATTGTACAAACTTACATTGTACGGACATTTTATCAATACATATTACGTTAGCTTATCTTAAACTAGCGCATAATTATCACAAGAATCAATCGTTTCTTGAACATTTCTGTTGTTTGTCGAATAATGATTCATTTATATATAAATTGGGTTAATGATTGAAAAAACATGATATTGATATTATGTTAGAAAAGTTCCGAGACAACTGGTATTATAATTATTTATTTCCGTAAATAAGTAAATTTATCAGTTAACTAAATAATTAAGGGGTTTTTTAATAATCTATACTTATTATAATAAAGCGTAAACACACTTCTGTTGCCTAAGATGTCAGCAATTACAGCATATTTTTGAATAATTATTTTTTTAATTAAAAGGCCCCACGCTTACGTAACGCTTTAGGCTATTTATTTTCACGCCACTAAACTTAGGGCATAAATATTTTGGATAAAAACCCTAATGTGGGAAAGAGACCATAAGTTGCTGCCAACATCAAGGAAGCAAGATTGCTAAGGTTTGTCATGTCATGTCATTTTGACATTTGCTATTGATAATTCGACAAATGTAAAAAATAAAACAAAATATCCACACAACAGCTAGTTCGAAATAGTTAAGAGTTTGTACATAACGGTTAATATATATTTGTTGTGTGTGAATGCCCGACCAGCGTTAGTTATTATTTCGTGCCGATAAATCTATACGAATATTATAAAGAGGAAAGATTTGCATTTTTGTATGTATTGAAATAACTCAAAAAGTACTGGCCCGATTTTAAAAATTCTTTCACCATTAGAAACGTAATTTGATGGGCCAAAAACCTGTAGAACACAGCAATTGCCGTAGCATTGGCAACACTGGTAGACTGTGAAGTGTATAGAACACTGACCACCGTCGGAGGTGGAGTGCGGGTTGTGTGCGGTGCGTATAGAACACTGACCGCCGTCGGAGGTGGAGTGCGGGTT